ACAGCAAGGAGATGGGGCACCCTGGCCTCTCCAAGCCCATCTTCATGGGCTGCCCACAAGCGTGGGACAACCTGTGGTCTGAGGTAGACCAGACCAAGTGGGCTGGTGGCCGCCTCCCCAGTGTCCTCAGAACCCTCCCTCTCCAACTAACCCACCATGGGTTGCATTTACCTTTGGGGCAGCCTGGCTGCACGGCACTGGATGCCAGGAGAAGGCGAGATGAGGGGAGCCCAGGTGGCTTCTTCAGGGATCTTTGCCCTCCCCGTGGCTGTGAAGAACAGCTTTGGCTGGCTGCGGCGAAGATCACAACTCTAGGATCTGGGGTCCTTGTAAAATCAAAGCCCCTGCCATGTCAGCATCCATCCTGGCTGTTCTGCAAGAGTCCCCAGGAGCAGCAGCCTGGCCACGCAGTCCACCAGGGCAGGGAGTCCCACGTTTGCTCCTCCAGGCAACAGCAGAGAAATCTGAACTACGAATGGGGATGTGGATCACCCTACCCAGCTCCTGCTGACCTAAAGATCCCACTGGTCTTGTCTGTCCTCAGCTTGTCCACGCTGTAGCTTGTTCCCCTGCACAGCCGGGGTGCGGGGAAAGCCTCCTGGCCAGCCTTGCAGTCTGGCGGGTGGCACGGCCACTGGAGAGGGTCCCCAGCTCTGCGGGAAGCCCAGGGACGCTCACCGCTGGCGGCTGGCGAGGAGACATGGGCGAGCCGAGGGGCTGGCTCAACATGCGCTGGAGGGGTGCAGCACGAAGCACAGAGGCTCTCCCATCCTGGCCGCTCTGCCCTGGAACACAGCATGTGAACCGCTGCCCAGCACAAATATGTTCCTCATTATCCACCCTGGCTGCTGACTGATCCTGGCTCCGTCACCAGCCACTCGCCATGCGGCCCCGGCCAGCTTGCATCCCGTCAGCTGAGCAACTTCTGCACGACTTCACTAGCCATCACAGCGGGGCAGACTGGGACCAGGGCTGGTATCCACCTCTCCAGAGGTAATTCCAGAGTGAAAATGAATCGTTCCCTCCACCAGCAGGTAGAGGAGGCTTCCAGTGAAAGCCAGGAGCAGGGACGGCTGCTTCACGTGCACAGAGCAGGAAGGCAAACGCAGGAGAATTTGGGAAGAGGTGTTGGGTCTGATGGTATCCAGGTGAGATGGATGCTGGACAGACAGAAGCAGGAAGGAGCAAAGAACGGACTGATGTGTCTCCAGAACACATTTCCAGATACACGCAGACTGAACTCCTGATTTCTCCTGCATTGGCCTTCCCATTGTTCTCTGTGCAAACATGAGCATGCTCAAAGCCTCTGCCATGCTTTCTCCTTGCTGGGACCAAGTAGGAGGTGAGAAGCTGGGCTCCCCTTCACTGGCTTCCCACCACCTCTGCCTGTATAGGCCATTGTGGAAACGTCATGTGAGGGTGTCAGAAGTGCTCCAGAAATAGAGCAGAATGAAAAATCAAGCAAGGTTGCCTGTGAGTCAACAGCACCCTTGCTGCAACAGAGAAGGTGAAGCTGGCAGCTTCAAGGAAATTATTATTCCTCTTGGCTTGGTACTGGTAAGAAACAACGGGGTACTAGCTCCAACCTGGGGCTCCCCAGAACAAAAGAACCAGCTTTAGGGAGACAAGTCCAACAGAGGAGCTGCTACAGGGGTCACAGGGAAACCAGAGTCCAAGTCTTCCTGGAGACACACCTGGAAGGGCAAGAGGCGATGGGGACAAGCTGTGCCAGGGGAAATTCTTGCTGGACATAAGGAGAAAATCATTCTGCGTGAGAGTGGTGCAGCCATTGTGCGGCTCTGGGACAGGAAAGGTGGTGACACCTCCATCCTCGGGGACTTTCCAAACCCAATGGGACAGGGCTCTGAGCTACCTGCTCTGGCTTTGCCACCAGTCCTGGATCAAGCCAGTGTTGGACTGCAGACCTCCCAAGCCCCTTCCAGCCTAGAATTTACCTGATGCTCCAACATTCATTGCAAAATAGCAAGGTGGTGATTTTAAGACCACTGTTGAGCTGACTTGGGAGATGGCCAACAGCAACCCATCGCCCACGGCTTGGCTCTTCCACCCAGCTGATGCCCCCGTTACCAGAGCTTCCTTACATCCTCTGCTGACTTCACAAGTTCTGGTACCACAGAGAAACTGGAGGAACTGAGCATCGGAGAAACTAAATCACTTGTGGAAAAAATGTGCAGATGTAATGGCAGGCTCTGAGGAGAAACCTGTGTGCAAAATGGCGGTTCTACGATAGTCAGGCAGCTCTGGGATGGGATTGCTTATAATGATAGTCAGGGGGTTGTGTGTTCTGGGTTAGTCTGACAAGCATCTCCTTTGGGTCTGGCCTTGCTCTGTCCTGCAGAAGTGGAGGTTTGGGCACATGTGTTTGTGGTTTGGCCCGGTTCTTGTGTTTTTCCACTGAAGCACTTCAGTATTTTTAGGCTGAAAGAGATGGCTCTGTGCTGTGCTGGAAGGGTCAGAGCAGTCCTGTGCAGGCAGAACGCTGCCTGCTCTCTCTGTAAAGTGAAATGCAAAGATTAGAGTATAAGAATACCAATAAAACCCTCAGGGGAAGGGTATAGTAAGAGCCACCATCCCTGGGGCCGAGGGTGGGAAGAGGGGGCTCTGAGCTCACCATCTGCTGTCTGCATGCACATTAGCTGCTGGACTCAAACTGTGCAAGACGGCAGCAACCAGCCCCAGCCATTCCCGAAGCCGAGATGTCTACTTTTCCTCCTCCGAGGACCTGAACGCCGCAGACCCACCACTTCCAGGAAAACCACCTGGCCCGCACAGCCTGGGGCACTGCCAAGGCGGCCGTGTCTGCAGGAACCGCTGGCACCGAGGTCGGCACGCAGAGCGCGCTCAGCCAGCATCGCCAGGCCGTAGGATGGGAGGCAGAGGGGAAACGTCAGGAGGAGCAAGAGCTTCCCAAGGGACCAGTACAAAGCTCTCAGGGCTAGGAGCTGTACAGGGACCCTGCCAAAAAGGACCTGGGGGTGATGGTAGATGCCAGGCTGAACACAAGCCAAACATTGACCCTGTGAATCAAGTAAACCACATTTACCCTCCTTTAGGAGAAGTGGAGCCAGCAGATCGAGGGAAGAGCAAAGCCAGCACACCCTCATGCACGGAGGTTCCTGTGATCCAGAATACCCTGAAATAGATCCATTTGAACCGTATTTTTGGCAAAAAGAGAGGAAGCGTGGACATGGGCAGAGCTGGACTCCCAGCACCGTGCAGCCACAGCAGCAGGCGGCAAGGGCCCGGCTGCTCCCCGGGGCGTGGCCTTAATGACGGCTGCAGGCAAGCTTCTGTTCAGAAAGAATTTCACATTTTCTGCAAACATTATTGAAACTAGGAAATCCAGTTAGGCACATCGAGAGAGGGAGGCTGTGGCCTCGGGTGGAGAAGAGCAGAGAGGGACAGAAACATGGTGCCTGCAAGCGAGAACTGAACCAGGAGCTGCAGAGGTTCCCCGACAGCAGAGAGACCAGACTGCGACACCTGCTCCAACTCCGATTTATTGAACATTACAAAATACTCTGCATATATTTTCACATTTAAAACAATATTCTTGCAAATAAGATATTGAGTCATTTGTGGTGCCCACGGCTACAGAAAACACTGACCCAGCTAGAGATTTAGTATGGCCCAATATCAGAAACCAAAACCAGAATAAGGCATACCAGAAATGCAAAACTATATAAAAACCTTTTAAGAACCTCATGCTCATCTGGTGGGACAGGTACTTTCCCTTCTTCCCCAAAAGGAGCATCCCCAACCCTCCTGCATTGCCAGTGCCCAGCTGCTGTGCTGAGCTTTTGTGTGCTGAGCAGTTCTTGGGGAGCAATTCTCGGCCCATGATTTATTCAGCATGTGGGCCATTGCCACTGGGTCCCACCACCCTCTCAGGAGGGACCAGGGGTGGCTGGGAGGCAGGTGGTGGGGACAGACCTTTGAAGATGCCACTCAGCTCTCACCCATCACTACTGTTCCTGATGTACATTCATACCTGCTGCTCGCTCCACTCCTTGGGACCAGCCCTCCCAGCCGATGGGCCCCAGGCAACTGGAGGGACTGGGATGCGGGCAGGATGAATGCCAAGGATGCTGTGCAGGGCAGCTGCCTCCTAGCACAGCCAGAACACTGAACATCGCAGCTATTGGGAATACATCCAGACAAGAGGCATGAGACTGGCACAGCAGGTTGACTGCTGGAGGAGTCCCTGTGTGTACAGATTCACTGGTTCGGCTCCTGCTGGAGCCAAACCCCAGGAGCGCTGCTCCCAGTCCTGAGAAGGTCATGGCACTGCCTCTGCGGTGCCTCCATAACCCGGGGAACGCAGAGCT